GTCCTAATGAAGCGAGCCGAAGCCTTCAAGGGGGATGAAGAGCCGAAGATCCTGCAGGAAATGGTTCAGGAAGCGACACAGAAAGCCATAGATGCTAAGGATGCAGCCGGCAAGGTGGAGCTGCAGCACCGCGGCTTTGTGTAGGTGTGCCATGAGTCCATGAGCTACAGAGCTCTGTGGGGAATGCTCTGTAGGTTTTGATCTGTCCTGTATAGAGCGATGCCTGAGCGGCTGTGAGCGAAAAGAGTTCTTGCGCCGTAGACCCCTAGGTTCAGGCTCGAAGTAACAGCCTAGCTGCTAGGCCTAGCTCACATGTGTTTCTCTGTAGGTGCTGCGCGATCAGTGCATGTTTTCTGTTTTGTTTTGCAGACAACGCTGCCCAAAAAAGAAAGAGATTCCAAGAGAAAAGCAGTCCCTAAGCAGAAGCGACTCCGGCACAATGTCGCAGACCTGCTGCTGGGCAACCATGTCAGCGCGCTCCGAGCGAGCGCTCTTTTCCAAGACGCTGAAGATGCCAGCGCGGCCCATGTGTCCGACTTAGCTGCGGTTGGCTCCAAGAGCAAGAGCGGTAAGAACTTGAGCAGGACCTGCGGCGCAAGCTGCTGCGCGACAGCCTCTGGCCGAAACCATACATGGCTGCTTTGCCCACCGGAAAGCGCAAGCACGCTCTGAAGGCACTGTGCCTCTGTGGCTGCCCCATGAGCTGGTCGCAACTTTGCACTCCAGGACAGTGTCACTTGCGGGCCTGACAGACTTTGACCAGCTGCCATCTGCGCTGAAAGCACGCATCGGGCGCTTTGCTGCTGCGCTCAAAGTAGACAAGGAATCTCTTTGTGGGCTCAGCATGTGGCAAGATGGTGTGCCTTTCAACTCGGATCGCTCGAAGAGTGTTGAAGTCCTGTCTCTCGGCATTTTGACTTGTGGGCTGCTCGACTTGCGCTTGCCCCTAGCTGTCGTGCCAAAGCACTGTGTTTTGAAGGGTGAAGGTGGCGCAATCGATGCCATCTTTCGGGTTTGTGCCTGGAGCTTTGCTGCCTTGGCCACCGGCTGTTGGCATCAGACCAGATCAGACGGAAAGCCATTCAACGACACCGATGCCTGGAGGAAGAAGGCTTTGGGCTCTGCCATGCCTTTGCCCCGTGGGGTGCTGCTGCAAATCAAAGGTGATTGGTCAGCCCCCAAGTCTGTCTTTCGCTTCCCTGGCTGGCGCGACAATCTGGCTGCTGCTATCGATGCGATATGACGCCAGACCGCATTCGCGAAGTGGCCTCCAACTCCGACTGGCGACAGCCCAGCCACCGCCTCTGCCATGCTGATCTCTTGGTCAGGATGGTGGCTGATGGGAAATCGATTTCTCCAGCCTTCAATATTCCATTTGTCACAGCCGAAACCTTCCAAATGGATTGGCTCCACACCACTGACTTGGGCATCTCCTTGGATTCTTAGGGGGCATCTTGGCTTGGGCCTGCCGTTACCTCGAGGGCAACCAAGCGCAAAAGTGCAGCGCTCTACACTTGCGTATGAAGGACTACTACAAGAGAACCTGCTCAAGCCCACCATACCATGATAGGGAAGCAGCCTGGTGCCTATGCCCGCTTGCGGGCGAAAGCCGGTGAAGCTAGGGACCTCATTGATTTCGCGGTCGAGGTCACAAACGAGCTCTTCGACCACACACAGCCTGCGGCCGCCACTGCAGCAGCAGCCGCCCTGCAGCTGCAGGTGTGCTACCAGCAGCTGAGCAAAGAGGCCTTTCACAGAGAACTTCTAGAACAGGCTGCCCTGCGCTTCGCCCTTCTCTATGTCGCGCTGGGTGATTACTCCGCGGATCATGGTTGGAAGACTTTTCCGGCCAAGCCAAAGCTGCACGCCTTTCTCGAACTTGTCCAGACTAGCACTCCGCCATCTGCCTTCTGGACATACACTGAGGAGTCTTGGGGCGGTACCGGAGCTCTGGAGTGGACTCTAAAGTGGAAAATATGTTGTTGCTCTTGCCAGTCAACATCCCCTAAATAAGGACTTTTGGAACATCCCTTAAATAAGGACTATAGTCTCTAATTTAAAGCTTAAACCCTCAAATAGAGGAGGTATCTGCTCCATTTTAAGGGGTTTAACATCTAATTAGAGTCTTTAGACCTTATTTAGATGTTTTTCATTGAAAAAATAAAAACTATAGTCTTTAAATAAGGGTGGAGCCTCTAAATAGAGACTTTTGGAAGATCAGGGAAGCACTGAAGCACTTTTCGGCCATCCTGGAGTCAAGGACCCTTGGCCAACTCCTTCAAACCGATCGCCTAAGATGCTTGGCATTCCAAGCGAGGAACATGCATACGTTGAAGAAGAAGTGCCATATGAACCACAACCTCCAGTCCCAGGAAGAAGACGATGAGTCCCCAGGGAGCAGAAAAAGAAAGGCCGAGCAATATTATCGAGAAGTTGCGCCGCCCTACAATAACGATGGTGATGATAACCTAGATTTTCACGATGATGTTCCATTTCCAAGCACATCACCACCAAGGACAATGACAAGACATCATGTAGGACAAGATCAAAGACGTGAATACGACCGTCTCTCAGACTCCTGGATCTCACCGGCAGAAGACCGAAGAAGAACAAGATGAAGAAGATCGCGAGGGTGCGTCTGATTTTGTGGTCGACGCAGAATCACAATCGTCCACACTTACCAGCATAGTTACAATCAGTGAGGCCGGTTCTGCCGGATCTCTTGAGCTTCCTCCAGTCCAATATGAGCCGGCAATCTTTGAGAACTCCAATATGTAGCTCAAGGCTTGCAGTATTTGCCAACGTTCGAAGACCTCTTTTGTGCGTCAGCTGCGCGACGCTGTTTTTGACTGACTCTTAGAGATGCGCTGCGGTACTAAGTATGCCTTATTGGTTTTGAAGAGGTCTACGACTAAGAAACCTAGCACCGTCTGGCGGACATCAAGTACCCGGCCAGATGGAACAGAATCTTTCCCAAGAACGATTTGCGCACGAACCAACAAGACCCATTGATATGAACGCGTTGCTGAACAGGGACCGAGATCTTCTCAAGGAATATGAAAAATAGCAAAGTCCATGCCTAGAAACTGTAAAAACCATCAGCAATAAGACCACTGAAAAACTACCACGACAAGACATCTCAAGCAACTCCACAATGACGTGAAGAAGCTCTCAATGCCCTGAAGAAACTCCATCATACAATGGAAGCAAGCCCCCCTGGCGCATACCTTCACCTCTCTGCCAAAAGCAATGATAGGGACAGTTTGCCTGAGATGTTTTTCGGTCGCAGTTGTCGCCTAGCAAGAAACTTACGGCTGATTGCAATACAGACATCGTTCGATCTTATTTTCACGGACTCACGTCCAACCTCTTTGACCTAGAAGGAAGAGACCACAGCTTAGGCCCAGGCAGATCAAGCGTCTCCACGTGTAACATTGAACGTGGACAATCTAGAAAGGCCCCATAAACTCCCCAAGCAAGCCGGCCGTGCAATGCAAGTTCCTCTCAAAGGCGATGATCTTGGCCCAGTCTTCTAGAGCTTATCTATCAAAACTAAGAACGTTCCTGCCGTTGCCATCTTTGTTCATGGCCCTGCGGGCACTGCCCATTGAACTTACTTACACGCTTCAACGATCAACCGTGGATAAGCGCAGGAGCCGCTTTTGTTTGGCGACAACCGATCCGAACAGCCTACAACCTTTGTGCCTGCAATGGCAAGCCATATGAACAGATCTCTCTATGCCGATTGCTCGATAGTTCCTGGTCATATGTGCGGAAATTTCGTTCGCGAAGGAAAGTTTACGCCTGCCGAATGTCATACCATGGGCAACAACAAGAACGAATTTGTTGATCTCACTGACGGTTGACTTCCAAGACAAGGACCACACCAGCTGGAACGGTGAAACTGATCTCTGCGACCTGGTTCACAAGGCCGGATTTCCAGAATATATGATCGGCCCGACGGTCTGACCCATATCACAGCTCTGCCGACGCAAAGGTATGAACAAGGTAGCAGCTTCCCTTTCTAGGTTCATTCGCAACTGCCTCCATATGCACATTGACTACATTACGGGAGACGGAAACCTCGCCGTCGACCACTGTTTTGACAAATAGAGTAGAATAGGCGCCAGCGTTATGGTGCCTCCACGGAGAGTCAATCATAAGGTCAATGCATCCTTTCATACCTCAACACCTGCCACTGTAGAGGCCAGTTGGCGTGGGACCCGTCAAATTGCAGAACACCATGAGTGTGAGGACTTTGATATTGACCATTTCGATTCAATATTTGGCGCGGTCATTGCCCGCGAAGTGGCCGTTGCACTGGAGCACAGTCTCCCATAAGTACGCAAGGCAGTCATCAAGTCCAAGAGGCTCGTCAACCGATAGGTGCCAATGCCTGATCTTTGATCCAACACTTGAACCTGGGCCACTGCTGCTTGGCCACGCGGGAGGAAGAAGAAGTTGGAGCCACGCGGGGCTTTCGCGGCCACGTTGTATTTTTTAATCTTTGCAGGGCCACATCGGCCACTTGAGGACTTCGGGCCTACGACCGGGGACGACAGATGGTGAATTTGACTTGAACAGGCTCGGCGCTGATACGACCTGAGAATAGAGGTTCGGCGTTGCTTTCTTTCAGGGATATCTCAAGGGCCGGCAGATTTGTTGGAAGTGGCGTTCGTCCAGGGAAGCACGCGCCCGCCTTGCACATGCCGTGTGACTCGTGTCTTACGCAAATATTGTGAGCGGGTCTTTCTTCAGATTGGGCTTGACCAGTTGCCAAACGGCGGACGACCCTGCAAATCACGTCTGCAGTGCTTCAGACAGTGTCGTGTCTTATGTAAAATGTGACGATGTATGCGCGTGTGTTTTGCGACGGTGTATGTGTACGTATTCATGCAGTTTGCATTTGCTCCTCCACCCGGGGGGAGGTGCGGGAAGGGGGAGTCAGGACCGCCCGCCGAGTGAGGCGTTCGATTTCAGTTGAGCAAAGTGTCGCCCAGGACGCCGCGCTCGATGTGGAGATCACGAACTGGGGGGTTAATTATGGTTCTTACTTTTGGCTTGCCAGTTCTTCCAACCGGCTCCGCGTGAGCATGGTCACTTGGGACTTTGATCCTCCCAAGGGCACTTTGGTGGACAGTCCTGGGAACTGGTGCGTTTGCGACCAGCCTGTTCTCTCTGTGTGCCAGTGCGATGAGCCTCATGAAGGGAGCTTCGTGGTCATGCAAAATGGTTTGCTCCGAGGATCCTCTGACCAGTGCGTTCACGTTGGCGCTGACAAGAAATTGGGTTTGATGCCTTGTCCAACGACCCGCGATGAGAAGCGGCTCAGCTCGAAACTAGATGGGCCAAAACAAGTTCAAGCGCGACACACTGTATAGATTATAAATGTTTGTTTATTGGTTGTGACCGCAGGCAGAACAAAACTAGCAAAACCAGCTTTCGAAACCCCAATAAATAATCAGAAGTGACAAACCTCCGACCTCATAAATTTTCAGGCATGCTCAACAATGCAGCAGGAATCACGCTTCCAAGTCAGCACAGCACAAGAGTAGTGTATATAATTAGATGTTCATTGGGCGCTTCCACCCCAGTTGATCCATAGAAACGATTTTTTCGGTTTTTGCGTTTCATTGAATGTCTGTTCTCAAATTTGGATACATTTGTGCAGCGACGTGTGCTGTTCGAACACGCGTCAGCCGATGATCTCATTGACATTTTGTGCAGCTATGTCCGCGCGCGTGCGTCAGTCCTTTTCAAGCATTGCGCGACCCTTTGCACGAAGCTACAAGTTCGGTGGAAGGGTCGCCAACTTTGCAACCTTTTATTTGGACCCGCCGCCTCGCCTCACCAAAACTAGAGTTTGAGGGGTCCTTGTAGATAGCGCAAGTCAAGGAAATCTCATTGGCAATGTTGGAGGTCCATGGACTGAAGGGCGCATGGTTTGACTGCAGGCCATCTGGAAAAGCGACCTCAATTAATCCAGCTGGTGTGCCCACTGGGTTGGCCGGTGCAGTACTAGGATTTCCCTACAGGCAAGGAACCATGACAATCGTGCTTGGCGTTGATACAGGTATGGACACACGAGCTTTCACTGAGAAAGATGGACCTTAGCTTTATCGCGTCAGGGATCTGCTGGAGCTGTGTGGGTCATCCAGCAAACCCCGCAAAACACAAAGTGCAGCCAACCTGGCTTGAGTTTGCTCACGGGTGCTTCGCAGCGCCTGATGAACAAGCTGCCGAAGCACCATATCTAGGCGACCAGGATCCATCCAGATACCCCCGTCAACAACTTTGCCACCGCCACTGACTTACACCCTACCTGCAGTGCTGCGCCATCTTCCACAGAGCGCGCGTTATCCCGTGGTTTGCCGGTGACCTTTCCTTTCAACCCCCAAAGCATGTTTTGGTCATTTTTTGCCAATGCCAATGCGCTATACAAGCAAACTCATCAGCTTCTCTTGGCGTCAGAGTTCATTTTGACAGGGCTCAAGTAGGCCGCAGCGGGCATAGTTGACAGTGGATCTGCTGGGATCTGCATTTATGCTCCTCCTCCTCCTCCTCGTCCTCCTCCTCCTGTGGGTGGTGTATCTTCACGTACATATTTTTTTTGTATTCGGAAGGTGGTTACTTCTTTCCACGCTTTGCAACTCAATGCCGTTTATTCCAAAGACTTCGTCGCCGCTTACATTCTACCAACCAACCACACCTGTTCACATCACTATACTTCTAGGCAACCTTACCAAATCCACCTCTAGGTCCTACGAAACAGTTCGAGCTTTTTCCTCCGGCGCAGACACCCTTCCCTACCATAATCTTACACCTCCCAAGTCCCATACACCACTTACCGTCCCTTTCTTGGCTCACACCACCTTTTACCAAAACACCCAACGTTGGCTTACCTCCTTGGTCCGCCAACATTCCCACCACACCGTTCCACTTACCCACTTGCCGCGTGCTTGTTCTCACTTCCAGACTCTCCTTCTGCAGCCCGAACATCCTACAACACACGGTCATTCCGTGTCTTATTATTTTTGATATCCACCTGCGCCACAGCTCAGGCATTTTCTCCATGCCAATATAAGCGACTTCTTTCCCACCATCACCAAAGCGTTCAAAGGATGGCTATCTACCCAGGGCTTGCCACTATCCTTGCCGATGCACACCTGACCTCCCAATGGTGCGAACACATCCAACGCTTGCACTGTGAACCTGGATTCACCGCCAGAGCAACCGCCCAACAACATCTAGGCCCCATGGGATCGTCCATTTGAAGCAGAAAGACAATGGCAGAAGGGCTGCGCCATCATTGCTTTAGTTCCAATCAGCGCAGCATTCTCCTCAGAACCCTCGACCACGTGCCCAACCATATCCACCTCCATGTCACCAATGACGACCTGGTGGGCTTTTTCAATGCCGTTTACAGCGACTATCAACACCAAAGCCACCGGCAATCCTATCCAACCTCACGTTGGCCCCAACATCACCGAAAGCGCCCCACGCAACGTACATTGGACACTCACGACATCACAGACATTGTGCGCCATGCACTCAACGCAGCATGCCCAACAACCTTCCAACAGATCCGCAGGCGTCGGATCTCAGCTATACCCCGCACTCTGCAACGTCGCCGTTGCCCTCATCGAACATTCCTGGCACCAGCTGCACTCCTCCCTCCTTTCACACACCCAGCTCCGCTATGTTTACTTCAGGTATGTCGACAACAGCTTCTTTGCCATCAACGAACATTTTCTCTCCCACCCAGCCAAAGACTTCCATCTTCCCGGCTTCGCCATTGACACCACCAACAGAATGCATCAACGAGATCAACCGGCCTACGCCTGTCGGGATTGGCATCCCGCGTGCACGCCATCAAGCAGTACAGTTCCATCCCCCAGCAGCTCTTTCATTGTACATTCACAATTAAGGGTAACGATGAACGGGACTGTCGTCGGGCTGCAAAGTCAAAAAATAGCATTGTTTGCGTCACTTCAGGCCAATTTTTCTTTGCGCGCCGGATTCACGGCTTTGTGTGTGTGTGTGTGTGTGTCAACCCCTGTTGTTGAGGCCACACCAATCCTAGTCGCTCCAGTTGGCTACCAGGATGTTCAACACTAAATGCGTGCTGCTAATATCGATCTGGGACGCCGGATCGACGTACCTGCCGACTTATACAGAGCCGTTGCAGTTATCTTGAGGTCGTTCCTGCAGTAGCGAGTTAGCGCGTTCATTGATCCGGTTTGAACTTGTGCTCATTCACTTAACTAAGTGTTTGCTGTCGAGGTTGCACTTGGCAAGCGTGGGAATTGTCTCCACCACCTGTTCGCTGAGGTTTCTTTGGCACTTCCAGATTGGCAATTGCTCCTGGGCACTATGGAACTGGCGGAGGGGGATCTAGATCAATGTATGTTGCGCGCTAAGAGCTGTAGAGTCACTCCAGACCTTTGAAAGGTTCCAAGGTTTGTACGTCTTTTTTTGGCTTGATGAGGCTATTTCATCTTTGAAATGGTCGACACGGCGGAGAAGCTTTGGACTGCCACGGCTGGAGATTGGTGGGAACGTAAGCCCCTGATACTGGGGAATTTGGCTTTCGAAGATAAAAGCTCAGATGGAGGCCCGGAGAAAGAAAAAACTATACCGGACAATTGGGTGTTCGGCTCAAGATCATATGCTTATAATATAATATGTTTGACAGTCACGAGCGGTCACTCGGTCAGGCATGACACGCACAAAACAAGAAGTGCGCAAACGCAACTGTATAGGCCCAAGCTGAGAAAAAGATCTCGCTTCGCATGGTAGCGGAGCGTGGCCGTAAGAGCCCGCTCCGTTGCCCACGACACTGCACCGCGACCCGCCGTTTGACATCGCGGAAGGTGACCTCGAGGGGGGCACAATCTATCTCCTTTTGGCTCGTGGAGCTTTTGCTGCTGAGCTGCTTGGCGGGTGGTGCAGGTCACCACGAGTGGTGGCGCAGCAGTCGAAGTGGAAGGTTCGCTACATCCACTCGATCGAGATCGACACTGAGGAGCACGTACGTGGGCAAGCTACAGTGGGCCAGAGGCAGTGGGGCAGTTCGAGCCTCATTGCGTGTGAAGAAGAAAGAGAAAGGAAGAAAGGGAGGATCCAGGGGAAGAAAGCAGTTGGTGGCGATAGTCCAGGCCAAGTGGAAATTTCTGAAGAGGATTGAGAAGCTACGAGATCAAACGGACAAGGAAAAGATCTGTGAGCTCGTCGCCAACTGGGATTTCAGGAAGATCCTGAACTACACCAACTTGGAGATCAAGGAAGAGTTCGAGGAAGGAGAGCCCAATTTGACCACCAGGACGTATTACCCCAGTGTGGTTTACATACAGGCAATGGCAGAGGAGAGTTTGAAGATGATTTCAACGGCCCTTGAGAAACTGACGGTGACGCAGAGCTCAAGTTCATGGGCCAGACACTTGAAAACCCCGGACCTGTTCAAACCGGACACCCGGGACAATGAGCTGAAACAGTGGAGCGATTGGAAATTTTCCTTTGAGAACTATGTCAAAGGGATTGACGCACCCATGGCCTACAGCATGAAGCTTGAAGCTCGTGCAGGAGAACCTCAATGGAAACTATGAGCTGGATGAGATGACTGATGAAACAAAGGCACAAGCCATCCGTCTCTACAGCCTGTTGATCTCCTACCTGCGCAATCGGCCATTGAAGTTGGTCCGCCATATGAAGCAGGAGAACGGCTTTGAGGCTTGGCAGAGGCTCCTGAGAGAGATGCAACCTGTGACCAGAGCAAGATCACTCGCGCTCCTAACCCAGCTGTCGAGGGTCCAGTTCGCTGAAGGCAAGTCGATTTCGGAACAGTTGCCTGTGTATGAATCCATCGTAACAGAGTACGAGAGGATCTCAGGCCACACCTATGGGGACGACAACAAAGTGGCGTCGATTCTGCAGGCAGTTCCGGCCCATCTGAGGTCACACCTTCAGCTATGGATCACGGACACCACAACGTATGAGCAGCTGAAGAACAAGGTTATGGAGCTCGAAGCACTGGCCACCAAGTGGGACAGCTCTAATTCTCTCAGCCTCCCGACCAGGATGTCCATGGACGAGGCCGTACCCATGGAGGTCGACAACATCCAGAAAGGGAAGAAAGGTGGCAAGAGCAAGTCAAAGGATGGAAAGGGAAAGACGAAGGGCAAAGAGAAAGGAAAGATGAAGAGTGATGGAGGAAAAGGTGCCTGGAAGATTGACACAAGAGCTTCTGGGACAAGAGTGGACATGGCAAGAAGGGCAAAGCCCCAGAAAAGGGTGGAAAGACAGGAAAGCAAGCTGGGGCACGCCACAATTGCGGCAAGGTTGGACACTTTGCCCGTGAGTGTTGGAAGAGAATTTCCCCGATTGAGGAGACAGGAGGAGGACAAGCCTCTTCGTCGTCTACGGGACAAGCAGGAGCAGCACCTTCAGCATCGACAACAACGGCATCAGTGAAGATGGTACGCGTGGCCACGCCGCCAGATACAAGGAGTCTGGAGATCTTTGACCTCACGGGCTCAGGATCAGAAGATAATGAATTCCCGTGGAGAGTGGGAATGATTGAGACAATGTGTGACGAGAATGAGATGGGTGAAGAGTTCTTTGACTGCATAGAGCCCGTGGTGAACATCCCGGCGGGTATTGTGATTGTGGCCATGGACCTTAGGACAATGAGGAGAAGCTGGTGCAAATGGTGAGCGCTGGTTCAGAAAATGGAGATGAGTGCCTGGTTATGCTTGACAGCGGTGCTGATATTTCAGTACTGCCCAAAGCCTATGCAGACGTTGGGCAATGGGCGCCAGGCTCAGCAAGTTTGAGGATGGTGGATGCTCAAGGAAAGCGCATCGCACACAATGGTGTCACAAAGGCCAGGATCAGCACCACAGATGCAAGTGGTAAGAAGATTGAGATGGTGGAAGAGTTCGTGCTGGGGAACGTGCAACATCCGATCCGATGCGCCGGACGACTTCTTCGAAGAGGTTGGAGTATTGAAGGGGAGAATGGCCAGCTTGGTCTGCAGCACAAGGAGAGGTCCCCATTAGTGGAGAAAGAAACTCCCTGCAATTCAGCGCACTCATCTCTATGGTGGAGATGGCAGGTGAGAAGGGAGGCAACAAAGTGGAGTCGCGTGTTCTGGCTTTGAGAGGAAGCCTCAGCCGGTGCGTGAAGGACCTGGAAATGCAGCCTGGATGGCATCAGCTCCCCAATGGCATAGTAGCCTACAGTGATCCAGTGGCAGTGACACTTGCTGATCCCCGAGGACAGATCGAGGAGGCATGGAAGTCACGAATGACTTTGCTGAAGGAAAAGGAAGGCACATGGATCCAGGTTGAAAACATTGAGAACTACCTGGACTTGGGACCAGAGGCCTTCAAGAGAGTTGGGAATGATGGACCTCGAACGATCGCCTTCTTTGCACCCTCTATCATGGAGGATTACTGGGAGGAGGCATCAGAGGTACCGGTAAGACCATATCCAGAAGAGAAAAGGCGTGAACCGCAAGCAAGGACAGATTGGTCTGAGGATGATAGAGAGGAGGAAGAAGACATGGAGGCAAAGATGGAGTTCCATGACATTGAGAAGATGGTGGTGGCGCAAAGACCAAATGAGGTGGAGCTCGACGAGACCATTTACACAGAGAAGATGGGCGTGAAGGACTTGCAGATTGCGTGCAAGGAACGCCAATTGCCCTATAGTGGGAGCAAAAGGCGACTGTTGGACAGGCTGATTGCATTCAAGGTCAACCTGGAGAACAACATGAAACTTGAGGTGGCAAGCAAGCTCTACAAAGAGCAGGAAAGGAAGCCACTAGCACTTGGACAACCCCGACTGCCGTTGTTGAAGGAGCAGGAGACACACTTTGTGACTCATCTTCCATATGCTCCTTGGTGCCAAGCATGTGTAGCCACCAGGGCTAAGGAAGACAAGCGCGAAATGAGTGATGACAAACCAGACCAGGGCAAGAACGTGATTCAGATGGACTTCTTCTACACGTACACAGGTGAGGAGAAGAGGATGGATGAGGCCCCGGTGGACAAGGTGACTGAAAGAGCTGACCAATATGGTACATGTTTGGTCATGGTGTCCTCAGAGACCAAGGCAGTACATGTTGTCCCCGTCCCATCAAAAGGAACAGCAAGCCTGAAGACAGTGACGGAGGAAGTGGTGCGATTTTCCTTGGAGACTTCTTCAATGGATGGATGCATATTCCAAGGAGATGGAGAGAGGGCGATGAGGCAACTACTCAGGTCTGTTCAACAGGTCAGAGCCATAATGGGGCTGCGTGTGAGGTGAGGATGACTGGCAGCAATCAACATGCATCAAATGGCCAGGCAGAACGAGCGGTTCAGAATGTGAGGAGACTGGCAAATTGCATCCGCAGCTTCGCAGAGTCCAGGGCCCGGTTGAGCATCATGGGAAACATGCACGTGTACCCATGGTCATTCAGGTATGCTGGATTTCTGTTGAACAGATTCAGGGTCCTGGAGAAGGTGAACAAGGCATCCTATGAACTGTCGACAGGACACGGTTACCGTGGAAAACTGGCTTTGTTCGGGGAGTCAGTGATGTTCAAAAGTTAAAAGGCTTGTGAAGTACAAAGCCAGCGATTTGTTCGGGCGAGGAGTGTGGGTTGGAAAGCACAGCTGGAATGACAACCACATCGTATTGAGCCCAGAAGGAGCATTCGAAGCTCGGACAATCAGGCGACTGGCAGCGGAAGAAGCATTCATTGCCACAGATATTGTTGTGGCAAAGGGCTTGCCGTGGAGCTACAGTCCACAGGGAATTCTCATGAAGCATGCAGGGCAAGCGCAACGGTACAGGCAGCCTACACTTGAGAACGAAGCCACAGAGGAGGAAATGAAGGCCCTCACGGATGCAGTAGCTGCAGGCGTGGTGACACCAGCGCCCGGACTGAGACCACAGCCGACGACACCAGGAATGGCAATGACACCGGCGCTGCCACAGACACCAGCAGCAGCACCGAATACACCACGAAAGAGGCCAAGTGATGGAGAAGGTGAAGAACCAGATAAGAAGAGATTGGATGCGTCTGATTCACCAAGGAAAGCCCATGACAAGAGGGAACCTGATGATGTTGGCCCAGGGACGGAAAAGAAGCAAAAGCTCGATGAGGATGAAGGAGAGCAGGAAGGGTCAACGAGTCTGCCGTCGAAGATCACAGCGACGAGGTCAAGAGAGGAAGGTGAGGAAATGGCAGGAAGTTCTCCAACCAAGGTGGCAAGACTATATCCCCCTCATTACGCTGGTATCCAAGCAATTGAGGCACATGGAGACGAGGAGGTTGGCCAAGAGTTGATCCCGGAGGAAGTGAATGAGGAGCTCTTCGCTGGGTATGGTGGAAATGAAGATGAAGAACCACCTATCACGTCAGATGAGCACCTTCAATTGCTGGGCGAGCAAGCAAAACGAAATCAAGTGGAAAGGATGCTCCAGATGCCAGCCATGGAGGAGTCTAACAGGGGTGAGGAGGAAGAATGCAATGGCTACACCATTTCCACAAAGTTTGTCATTACCGTCATTACCTGGAAGCACAGGTTGGAGAAAGGAGGATGGTTTCGGCGGGCACGTTTGGTCGCGAGGCAGTTCAAAAGCAGTGTGGACCTTGATCAAACATTCGCCCCCACGTCGATCATGGTCCTGCCCAAAATGCTCATCCACTTGATGATCAACGTCTTCAAGCATTTCAGGGCCATGACCTTGGACATCAAGGATGCCTTCCTGATGGCAGACCAACCGAGAGAGCCTTCGTGGAGCTGGATGGGCAAATCTACAAGCTCATCAAGTGTCTGCCAGGTCAGAGGACTGCAGCATCTCAGTGGTTCCAACTATTTGTTGGGGCTGCAAAGAAATTTGGATTGAAGCAGGATGCGATGCAGCCCACCTTACTGATGATGGAGAAGGAAATGTACATCACAGTACACGTTGATGACATCTTCATGGTGGGGAACGAGGCCACGTTGAAGAACTTCGCGCAGTACATGCAGAAGAAGAAAGGGTGGAATATCGAAGTCAAAGGGCCATTCGACATGAATGAGAAGTTCCACTATTTCAAGAGGGAATTTTGGCCCGGAACCGAAGGATGTGACATCAGGTGTGGCTACAAGCAGTACGAGAGCCTTGCGAAGGACACTGATGTGTACAAAAAGGCCTACAGGAAAACCCCCATGGATCAGAGCTTCGCCAAGAAGGATGAGAGCCCGCTGCTGGAAGGAGAAGACATCACCAAATACCGCAGCGTGGTTGGCAGGCTGATGTACCTGGCGGGGGAAAGACCTGACGCACAGTTTAGCATCCAGAGCTTAGCAAGAAGCATGGCAAAGCCTACTCACCAAACATGGAAGAATGCTTGGCATGTGTGCTCCTACCTGCAAGGCACATTGGGTTTCGGTGTGAGAATTGGCCTGCGAAAGAAAGGCCAGTCGGTCATGGATGTGAGGGATCAAGAGGAGGTCGATGAGAAGGAGAAGCACTTGATCGAGGTGGTGACCGACGCCGACTATGCAGGCAACAAGAATGACCGACGGAGCACTACATCATTCCAGATCTTCATTGACGGAAATTTGATGGAATCCAGGGTGCGATCACAGAAAGCCATAGCTTTGTCTTCAGGAGAGTCAGAATTCGTGGCCATTGCGGCAGGATGTTCTGACGGGATGCTTATTCGGCACCTCTGCATGGCTAAGGTTGGTGAGCCATGCGATATGAAAGTTCGATCCGACAGTTCAGCTGCTCGAGCAATGGTACAGCGGCAAGGCATTGGTCGGGTACGACATCTGGATGCAGCACTTCTGTGGGCGCAGCAGAAAGAGAGAGAGAGAGAGAGAGAGAGAGAGAAGATCTTCAGTGTGGGCGCCATTGGCACTGAGCTCAATTGTGCGGATATAGGCACAAAGAACCTCACGAGAAGCCGACTCTTCGGACTACTGTTCATGCTGAAGATGATCAATAGCATCGGGGACCGCATTGGCCAGCAGGAGTTCAAGGACCTGGAGTATAAAGAGAGGATGAGGAAAGCCACAAGGAAGATCATGAAGGTGAAGGACTTGCACGTGGGATTGCTGATGATCCTGTCAAGGCTGGATGAGGCAACAGGAAAAGACCCAGGAAAGGAAGAAGAAGGCTATGATTGGAGCTGGGTGGTGTTCACCCTATGCGCACTGATTGGGGCCTTGAGCGTTGCGGGATGGTTGCGGCGCTATGTGTTTGAACCCTTCCTGGGCAAGGGCTGGCACTACATGATTGAAGTCCTGGCGGCCAAGTCTGGGAAGGGAAGCCAGCAAGAAAGGCTGGAAAAGAACAGTGTGGGCAGTCAGGCCCAAGAAGAAGACCTACGATCCTACCTGCAAGCATACGAGGAGAATGAAGCCAAGATGGCAAAGAAGCTGCATGAGCAAGAGCTCTACATCGAGGAGCTTGAGAACGGAATCAAAGAGATTCGACTGCAGCGGAAACAGGCTCTAAAGGAGCTTGAGATTTCGGAGGCATATGGTCCGCGAATGCTGAAGCAGACCACAGAGTACAGAGTTGCGCAGAGAGGGAACTTGATTCACTTTTGCGCCAAACGCCCGGTCACTCGGTCAGGCGTGACACGCACAAAACAAGAAGTGCGCAAACGCAACTGTATAGGCCCAAGCTGAGAAAAAGATCTCGCTTCGCAATATATATATGTTTACATTCACATATTCATGTTTTGCTTGAGGAGGCCCTGTTTCTTTCCAGAGGATGCCACGCAAGACATGCTGGCACGCTACATGTTGTTTTCCTTGCGGTTCCCACAAGTGGCAACGCCGGCCAATAAATGTTGCGCAAACATCGCGAGATTGGCACGTTGAGAGAGCCAACCTGTTGCCGTAGGCCAATTTCGGATGTACGTGGAACAGGTTGGCATTCCCAATCAACTTTGCCTTGGTGCGCCTTGGGATGAAACTATGAGAGCCACATCAGACTGCCGCTCAACCTTTCTGTGGAGAGGAGCCCATTTGGTCTACTTTGATCTTGGGGACACAAGCACCACATACTACATGCAGGCCGTGGGGAATCTGTTGAAGCGCGCCAGGTCGACCACTCCTGATGATGACAGTTACAAGTTCAATTTTGTCTCTGGCAAGATCATACCATTCTCCAACAGCAAACTGTGCCTGAAATTAGTCGGCCAGACGAGTGTCGAGTTCAGTCAGGACGAGCTTGCTTTGGTCGACCTGACTCAATTCACGCGTGTTCTTCATCATGAGGCCTTGATAGCCCCCACGTGGTGTTCACCCAATCATTTGCTGCACTGCAGCCACCCTGTAGGATTGCTGGCACGGCGCCTATGGGATTCGCTGGAAGGAAGACAAAGTTGTTCCTGCAGAACATCAATGGGGACAATGGACAGAACTTGGCAGCTGTGAAGCCTCCATCTCGGTGGTCATGCAGCAGGACTCGAATCCCAATGCAGAGGCCCAGCTACTCAACCTCACCATCGCAGACCTGGAGTCTTTATCTAGCAAGGAAAAGGAGGCCTACAAGTATTCCCCCGGGATCCATGTCTCCATCCAGGACGCGAACAAGACCCTATTCACTTGTTTGCCAGGCAGGGAGTTTTCGGAACTTCAAGGGGACCAGTTCTGCAATTAGACGCTGAGGTCATGCAGAGGGACCTGTTGTGGATGGAAAGTGCGCAACCTCGTGCGCCGACAATGCCCCTGTGAAGATTGAAGATTTATTCCAGGCGACAAGTTGGTTCTTTGCCGGCAAAGGATGTTTTTGTGGATCCTCAGGCTGAGCACCTCTCAAGGTTTGCTGTGTGCACTTAGGACTGCTGTCGTGACTGGTAGCATTCACTGCACCGAGGTTCAAAGACCAAGCCCAGACAGTATTCATCGAAAAAAGTTGCCCTGTCCTGACGCTCAGCTAAAGTTAGCAGAATTCTGACATTCCACATTTGTACTGTACCTTTGAGCTTGCGTTGAACAATAGACTTGAGGATGAAACCATCAGCCACAGTGGACCCAAGCCTGGCCAAGAACACGGTTGACAAGGGCATGACAATGCAGCAGCTGACCGATATTCTTCGCTTGGCCTATCACACCACACCTTTTGGTGACCCACAAGCGGCTCCCTTCAATTTCTCAGCTGCAAGTGCAACATTCGCCGAGACAGTGGGCGTCCCGGCTCTTTGGTGTATAGTATATATAGTATAGTATAGGATTTCTTCAAGGAAAGCAAGTATGGCAGGAAGGAAGAAGACCGCCATGTTCCAACGAACTGTTGAGTACATGGAACCCCCTAGGTGACTATGTATGTTTCTCCAGCCCAGACTAAGGATTCCTTAGCTTGCAGCCCGGTGGAGCACCGTGGGGCTTGAGATGCCCACAAGGGGCCGTGGTCGCCTCCGAGGGCTCGACCATGCCATACTGCCGTTTCGTTGACGCATTTGATGATTCTTGGTTTGCGTATATATTGATGCCACCATCAAAAGAGGGTCACTGGAAACCGCAGACACAACAAGGTAAAGCTTCCTGTTGCTTTGCTCAAGATGATGATAGCTCTTGCGCTGCAGTTTTAGAACATTCAGCTTTCGTTTTTACTGTCGGTTGGAAGAAACTTGAAAAAAGATCCATCAGCGGCGCGTCCACTCAGGAAAAGGTGTTCTTTTCGTTCTCTGGGTCAATGAGTTGCCCCGATGGCAGCGCTGTCAGCGGCTGGTACAATCTACCTGGCATCCCGGTGACAGCCGGCAAGTATGGTGGCCCAATCGCTGCTACAGGAGTGAGACTCTTTTGCCGTTCAACGGCCTTGTTGTCATCGTGTCAGCCCCCAACAACGCCTTACTGTCAAGGGGGTGGAGTTGTTGCGAGCATCTCCTTTGACTCCAACCAGTTCAAGCTCGGCTGCTGCAAGTTGCAGAGGTTCGACAGACCAATATAAAAGAGGATTTAATTCCCGTCACCAGTTGAACGATCAGTATTTTCGTGCAGGCCAGTGCGGGAATCCTGTTTTTTCCCACCTGCCAGGTGAGGGTCTCTAGATTTTACTCCTTCTCCTCAGAACAGACGCCGGAAAGAACGTTAGTGTAGTTGCCAGAATAAAAGGCCAGGAAGAATGTCAGAGATGTCAGAATACATGCAAGAATATATTTCCACTTGTGGCCTCTTTACTTCAGGCCACATCAGTAAAAACTGGGGCCGGCACATTTGATGAACAAAGTGATGTTGGAAATGTTGAGCTTCACGTCTGGAAAGCCTGTGTCCTTCAAAAAGAACACAAAAGGACAATGATACTCATGTTGGGCCTCGTGACCTCATGTCTCAGCCTGGCCTCTTTCCCCGAATGGTTCAGAATGGTTGTAAAATATGTTTACATTTTTGTTGCTAAGTTGGCTGTTTCCCAGAGCTTTCTGCTGCTAAGTTGGCTGTTTCCCAGAGCTTTCTGCTGCTATGCTTGACATGAAGACAAGTGCTCATAGAGTCAGTAGCAGTTCATCTAAGATGACACGCACAAATCGAGAAGTGTCTTTTACAGACCGCTAGTTGGCCCGAGAAAAGCTTCGCATGGTAGCGGAGCCTGCGAAGCCGGTCTCCCCCGTTGGGGACCGGTGGAGGCTCCTGGTTGCCTGACGCCATAGGCGCTTGGCTGGTGGGGACTACGTCCTAAAGCCCAAGGAGGTCCCGGAATTGAAGTTCGGTGGCCATGGCTGGTCAAGGTGAAGCGGTTGGCTCACCGACTTCGGCTGCAGCGGCCATGGATGGCCAGGAGTTCGCGATGAGGATGATCCAAGCTGCAGAAGCGGCATCCCTTGCCGCCAAGACGGCCGCAGAAGCCCTGTCCAGGAAGAATGCTGGAGAGGAATCGTGGTTCAAGGTGCTCCCGAAGCCCAACACCTTTGACGCCAAGAACCGAGAAGAAGAACTCACCCAGTGGAGGGATTTTAGTTGGAGCCTTGAACAATACCTCTCGTCCTTGAATGGTATGTTCACTGAGGACTTCAAGGACATCCGAGCCCGACCTGATGATCCCATCGACCCCAGCATCCAATCTGATGAGGAGAAGCAGAGGAGCAAGTTCCTCTACTCGCTGCTGGCGTCTTTGGTGAAGCAGCGCCCGCTGGCTATGCTACGCCAGGTGAAGGAGTCCAACGGCATGGAAGCCTATAGATTGCTGGTGCAGAGCTTGGAACCAGCATCGAAAAATCGCGCCCTCGGCCTTTTGACTATGATCCTGGAGTGGAAGCCCTTCGAAATGCGAAAGGGGAGCATTTTGGGCCAGGTCCTCCGCCTCGAAGAGGCCTTTGTTGAATATGAGAAGACGGGCTCGAAGTTGGAGGACAACATCCGCTCTGCCGTCCTCATGAGGTGCATCGGAGGCCAATTGAAGACCTGGCTACAACTCAATGTGGCGGAGTCCCAGGACTATCAGAAGCTGAGGGAGGCGATCATACAGTATGACAACGCCACCATGAAATGGACGAATGTGATGATGCTTGGAGCTGAACCCGGAAGCTCTGATGGAGCCATCCCCATGGAGATCGACCGCGTCAAAGGAAAAGGTGGTGACTACTCCAAATCCAAGGGCAAGGACTATGAGCGGAAAGGCAAGGGCAAAGGCGATGTGAAGGGCAAGTCCAAGACCAAGGGCTATGGCAAGCAACCAGATCCAGGAGGCAAAGGTCAACCGAAAGGAGCTGGCAAAGGTGAAGGTCAGAAAGGCCAGAAAGGAAAAGGTGACTCCAAGGTCTGCTACACATGTGGCAAAGCTGGCCATATCTCGAAGGATTGCTGGCAGCGCTTGAGGCAGGTCAGCGAGGAGACCACCAATGCCAAGGCCAATGCAGAGACAGGAACGGTTGCATCAAGTCCTACCACTGCCAGCCAGAGCACGAGCTGGAAATCGGGCACGGTCAAGAGAGTCCAGGAGGTTTCACACCTGGAATTCGAGAATGAGCCCATGATCTTCGATCTACGGCCAATGTCAATGGCAAGCCTGGACAACAAACAGGTCAGGATGGTCCAGTTCTTCTCCATCTCTGAAGAGATTGAGCCCAATGACGATGAAGACAAGCTGACCTATAACATCATGACTGTGACGCAGCAGCACCATGGCATGGAGAGTGAGGGCCCGGTGAGTGTGATTATTGATTCAGGTGCTGACGCCACGATCCTGCCGAGTTCGTTTTTGGATGTTGGCACGGATCTTTGCGAAGGAGCCCCACGGTTGCAGGATGCTCAAGGAGTACCCATTGCAGTTCGTGGGTACAAACAGGTCTGTTTCATCTTCCAGGCCGATGGAGAGCGAGAAGTCCAGATCTTCGACAAGGCCCACTTTTCAGATGAAATCAACCAGCCAATCATCTCCTATGGCAAACTCATGGAAGCAGGCTGGAACATAGAGGCCGGACGTGATGATGGGAGCCAGCATTGCATGACTTTTGGTCAGGGCAACAGTGTTGTGAGGATCCCATTGCAGCTTCAAAACAGGAGCCTTGTTGCCGAAGGGCACCTACGAGCGGTGGTGGAGGAGCAGAACGAGCCCATGATGGTTAGAGTCTTGGAGGCTCGGTTGAAGGATGACCTCCAGCTGAAGGCGAGGTATCAAGTCGGTTGGAAGCAGGAGGAGAACAAGTGGTATGGTGTCCACTTGGCTAAGAGGCTTCAAACCCCGCAATTCGTGGGAGAGATTCCTTCCACGACAGATTGGAAGAGGACCACCCTCGTGAAGGTGAAGGACCAGTGGCAGCTTTATGAGATGTGTGAGAATCTGCATGGTTTGGACAACCAGGAGGAGGTCATTGACGCTGTCGAAGAGAACACCCTGGTTTTAACGATCCTCACTGCAGAAGACCTGAGCACCGAGGAGATGGGCTTCGAGGTGGACACTGGTCTGGACTTGCAGCCAAAGGTGGATGATGCTTTGGCTTTGAGGGAACATGAGATCCCGGAGAAAGAGCCACAACGTGCCATGGATGAGGCTGCAGATGATGACATTCCTGCAGTTGCAGATGGTGTTGATGGAGAAGGAGCTGGAGAGCAAGAAGGACGACTGGTGTTGGAAGCTGGTCTACCAGATCATGTGGTGGTGAATGACATTCAGTTGACGTCCACCAGCAAGCTTCGAGAGCTACGTGCTGCATGCCATTTCTTTGGCATTAGTCAGTCGGGAAGCCGCTTGAAGTGTTTCCAGAGGATTGTGAGCCACTTGAAGGAGCGTGAACTCAAAGCCGCTTCTGAAGCTGTGGCAGCAGCAGAGTTGCAGATGGCAAGACAGCCGAAGATGCAGAGCATCGTGCCAGTGCTGTCCAAACAGGTGCAAGAACTTCATGCTTTGACACACGTGCCATATCAACCGTGGTGCGAGGCCTGCCTACAACATCGAGGATGACCTGACCGACACTTGAGGACTGGAGCAGCACATACTGGTGGAATCCCAATCATCTCGCTGGACTTCGCCTACACGAAGGCGGGAGAGATCGACAGAGCCCCAGTTCCGAGGGATCGAGGCCAAGATCCAGAGGATGGAGAGGTGATTGATCTTTATGATCGTGATGAGCAAGAAGGCCCACACGAACCTCGCATCAGAGAGCTGAAACCTGCACTGTGGCTCATCATGGTCTGCAGTCAAACAGGAAGTTTGGGAGCAGTGCCATTGCAGTCGAAGGGACAGCTGAACCTAATGGCTCGGGAGATCATGAACTTCGTGCAGACCCTCGGCCATGTGGAGATTGGGCTCTATGGAGATAACGAGCCCACGATTCGTTCAGTGCTGAGGATTTTACTGAACAGCCGGCACGCCATGGGTCTTCGAACAAGATTGTATACCACAAAGGTCAAGGATTCAGCTGGAAATTCCCTGGCAGAGAACGCCATCCAGAGAGTTCGTGGACTTGCGTGCACCTTGATGCGGGATATTGCGACCAAGACTGGATTGCAGTTCAACACGAACCATGGTTTATGGAGTTGGGCTGCAAGGCACTCCTGTTGGCTGTTGAACAAGTTCCAAGCCACGAGAGGGACCACAAGCCATGAGCTAGTGCACGGCAAGGCCTATACTGGTGCCTTGGTTCCCTTTGGATGCCCGGTGTACGCCTTTGTCAAGCCTCAATCTGGCAAAGGCAATCCAAGATGGAGGATGACGTTGTTCCTGGGCAAAACAGAAGGCCAAGATGCATGGATAGTGGGCGATGGAAGTCAGGTGATGCTCACCAGATCTGTCAAGAGGATTGATCGACCCTGGAGGAACTTTGGCGCCTACCAAAACTTTGCCACTCACACCTTCGAGTACCAGATCAACTTTGGTGGCCGCATCATTCCGAGCAAGAGAGCCGCCAGTGCAGTACCCCTTCAACTGGGACCTGCACCACCTCGTGATGAGATCATTTTTCGATACAGAGATGAGGAGGCAGAGGAGGTAGAGCGCTATGCAAAGTCAAAGGAAGGGCTAGAGGAAAGCCAAAGAGAGATCGAAGAAGCTCGTGAACCTGATGGAGGAACATTGACTGATGAGCCTGGAGGACCAGCACCATCAGCCCCGCAACTCGCTGAGCAGAGAGAAGGACTGCAAACTCCCCCAGCTCTTGGTGATCAACCTGGGGAAAGGGGCGCAGGAGGAGATATTCCAATGGTCTTTGAACCACTGCCATGGGAGATGAAATACCTCCTGAAGGGAGAATCCTGAAGAAGCTCCCGCCTCCAGAAGCAGCAGTCAAGGTTGAACCAGAGGCCAAACGAGCTCGACTAGATGGACCTACAAGTGGATCAAGTTCATCGCAGCACCAGGAGATGGTCGAGAGGAGGATCGAGAAGGTGTGCGTTGGAGAGGACACAATGTACCACCTGGATGAGGTCTTTGATGTCGAGGCCATGGACATTGAGGAGGAAGTAGACGACCTCGAGGATTTGGAGCATGGCGCAATTCC